CCTGAAGTCTCGGAAGCAGCGGAACCGGGCGCCCAATTCCGCGGCGGGACCCCCTCGGTCCCTCCGCGTTCCCGGGACCGGCCCCGCCCCTCCCATCCGCCGCCGTTAAACCCTGGGGCACCGCCCACGCCCTGATCGTGGCCATTCAGCGCCGTTCTTTCCGGATTGACAGGAGGCGAGCCAACCAGCACAGAGCATCCTGCCCCGCCCTCTGACTGACAGCTCTGCCATCCAATCATCTGGCGGTGCGCGCCGCGTGGGCGGGCGGAAGTTGCCGCCGTCGGGGCCGCCGGTCTCGGGGGCGATGGAGGCTCCGGGCGGCACCGGCGGGGCCGGCGCGGGGCCGGGGCGGCCGCCGCCGCCTCCCGGGGACCTGCGCAGCGTTCTGATCACCAGCGTGCTGAACTTGGAGCGGCTGGAGGTCGACCTCTTCAGGTGCGCTGCGCGGGGGCGCCGGGCCGGCGGGACCGGGGCGGCCTCTCCACACGCTGCCGCCGCCGCTCACCGCCGCCACCGCCTTCTCCCCGCAGGGGCCGGCACCACTGGGTGCCCGCCACGCAGCGCCTCTTCGGCGGGCAGATCGTGGGGCAGGCGCTGGTGGCGGCCGCCCGCGCCGTGAGCCGCGACGAGCAGGTGCACTCGCTGCACTGCTACTTCGTGCGGGCAGGTGCGGATCCGCGGCTCGGGGCGCGCCGGGGCCGGGCGGTGGTCCGGAGGCTGGGGGAGCCCGCAGGGTGAGCAGGCGCCCCATCCCGGCCACATCCCGGCAGGGAGGGTGCGGGTGGCACCGCCGGGCTCGGCCCCTGCGGGGCAGGTCCCTTCCGTGGCCCGGCGGCAGAATGTCGCTGTGCTGTCCCAGGGGACCCCAAGGTGCCGGTGCTGTACGAGGTGGAGAGGACTCGTACAGGGAAGAGCTTCTCCGTTCGCTCCGTAAAGGCCATCCAGCACGGAAAGCCGATCTTCACCTGCCAGGCCTCCTTCCAGCTCTCCCAGGGGAGCCCAGTGCAGCACCAGTTCACCATGCCCACCGTGCCGCTCCCCGAAGAGCTGCTGACACAGGAGGAGCTCATCCAGAAGTTCCTGCAGTGAGTGGGGAGGAACGGGGATGTTGGGGATGCCCTTCTTTGCGGCTGGTACAGAGGGAGGTGCGGAGGAGGATTGTGGTGGCTGCCTGAGGAGTTTCCAAACATGCCTGGGAGGGGAGCAGAGGGGCAGGACAGGACAGGAGCCGTGCCCCTCCTCTCTCTATGTGCCCCTGGGTCTGTGGGCTGGAGCTGCTGCTAGCAGGACATGCCTCTGCCTGCCTGGCATTAACCTCGTTTCTCCATGCTGGGCTGCAGGAATCCTAACCTGGCTGAGAGATACAGGAAACATCTCAACAAGATCCAAGCCGAAGATGTGCCGATTGATATTAAACCCGTAAACCCACCAGATATATTCAGCTCAGAGCCACAGGAGCCAAAGCAGCTCTTCTGGGTGCGAGCACGAGGCTACATAGGTGGGTCCTGCTGGGAAGGTGGCCCAAGTGCCTCCTGGGCCGAGGGCTCAGACTCCACCTCACACTGTGGAGCACTGTTACGACAGAATGGGCTGGGAGGACTGTGATTTGGGAGCTGCCTGTGCCCCAGCCTGTGGGGAAGCATGGGCATTTCAAGGCTGCAATGCAGGTGTGGGTGAGGAGCGTGAGGTGATGCCCTGAGCTGTGCTGGGGGGCAAGGGGAGCTGGTCTGGAAGAATCTCAGCTGTGCTTGGCCAGCAGCTGTCCCTGGGGCAGTGGAGCTCTGTGCCCCAGATGTGTCCCATGGGCACCCACGGGACGGGCAGTGCTGGTTGCTCTGCAGGGGAGACAGACATGAAGGTGCACTGCTGTGTGGCCGCCTACATCTCCGACTACGCTTTCCTGGGCACGGCCCTGCTCCCGCACCGGCAGTACCACATCAAGTTCATGGTGTCCCTTGACCATTCCATGTGGTTCCACGCGCCCTTCCGAGCTGACCACTGGATGCTCTATGAGTGCGAGAGCCCCTGGGCTGGTGAGTCCTTGCTGTGTCCCCTGGGGATCCACAAGGCCAAGGGCCAGCCTCTCCCTGCAGCAGGCTGGGATGCGGGAGGGGAAGGCGCTACTCTGGCACACGTTGCTTCCCCTTCTCACTTCTCCTACCCTACCCATCCTGGGGGTGGTGGCTGCACTCTGACAGCTCCTCTGTGCAGGCGGGTGCCGGGGCCTGGTGCAGGGACGGCTGTGGCGCAGGGACGGGGTCCTGGCTGTCACCTGTGCGCAAGAAGGAGTCATCAGGGTGGAACAGAGACCAAACCAGAGCAAGCTCTAGCTGAGGAGCCCCCACAAGCTGGGGCTCAAGCGTACCAAGCGAAGGACCCTGGGATCAAGACAGGACCTGGACAGCAGCAGGAAGGAGACTGGGCTGGATCCAGCCCAGTGTGGAGTCCAAGTGCCAGAGGTGTCTGCGACGGACGGTGACCCACAGAGCATCAGTGTGACCAACTGGCTGCTGCACAGTGTGTAACCTCATGCTGCCATCAGCCACCTTAAAATAAAGCCGTTGGGTGAAGAGCTGGACTCTGTCCCTAGAGTTTGTCCCCTTGGATCTGTGACTGTGCTTGCCCAAGGGCAGGCAGCAGTGGGGTAATGGGGGACCAGCTCTGCCCCCGCCGCAAGCTGAGTCACAGGAGGGGAACCTGCGCCACGTGTGCTGCTGTGGCACACGTTGCTTCCCTTTCTCGCTTCTCCTGCCCTGCTCGTGTGCCCTGGTGCCTCAGTTGCTGGTTCTGCTTGCCCTTGGGCTCCTCCCTAGGGCTGGGCTCAGGCTTGGGCCCAGCTGGGAGCCAGGGAAATGGGATGAGGCAGCTCCCACCTCCATGTGGAGGCTTGAGGCCTCCCACTGATGATGCCCTAGGGATATGGGGTGGAACAGACACAGCAAGCACTTTGGTCTTCTTCCTGCCAAGACTTTATTTAATAAAGTCCTTTTTATTATATAAGTTTTATGGGAAGTTCCCGGCAAGAGCCCCAAACCCTGCCAGAAGCCTTCCCGTTCCCTTGTGCGGTGCCAGTATGTCCCAGCTAAAGTCCCAGCCACTCCAGGATCCCCCACAGAGGGGGAGTGGCTCCAGCAACGTCACTGTGGGCAGTGGACCTCCGTGAACCCCTGTGAGCCCCCAGTCCCACCGGACAGACTAACCACAGAGAAAGTGCATTTAGGAGGCAGCTCCAGGCACGGGCCATGCTGCCATGGGAGTGTGGCACTGCCCCCCTGCCACATCCCCACTCACGGCAGCGCCCTGCTCCCTGCCACCATGGGTGCGAGTCCCTTGCAGCCCCTGCCCTCCTGTCCATGGAGGCACGGGCTGCTTCACTCCAGAGGCTCCTTGATCAGGCACTCCTTCAGGGAGGGCTGCTGCTGCAGGGGCAGCCCAGCCTCACGCAGGTCCTGCAGCCGGGCCTCCGAGCGCCGCTTGTCCTTGCCCACCTTCCAGGCCAGGTGGATGTGGGCCTGCAGGAAGGGCCCCAGCAGCGGGTGGCTGCCCTGGGCCTCCAGCAGCTGCAGCGCCTGCTCACAGCAGCTGTGGGCCTCGCCGAGCTGATCCAGCTCCTGGTGGCACACGGCCAGCCCGGCCAACGTCAGGAGGAAGCGGCCGGAGCTGCAGACCCCCAGCCGGTCCTGCAGCCGGTAGGCGTTGGCCCAGGTGGCCAGGGCCTCGCGGTACATGCCGGTGCAGGTGAGGCGCTGCGCGGCCCGCAGGTCCGGCAGGAAGAAGAACTCGAGGAACTCAGGGGAACGGCGGATCTCGTCGATGGAGTGCAAATGGGACAGGAACTGCTCGAAGGCTCGGCTCCGCTTGGCAATGGTCTCGGCGGTGAAGTTTCGGCGCAGCCTCTTCCTGGGGAAGGCAACGCCGGCCATGTCACAGCCGAAGCGGCAGCGCAGGCGGCGGTTCAGCTGCTCGAAGTCTGAGTAGCGCCGGGCGATGGTGGCGGGGGCCTTGTCAAACTGGCCGGTGCGGATCAGGTAGATGGTGTAGAGCTGTGGGGGAGCCGGGTGTCAGGCAGTGTCACAGGCACGCTGCTCCTGGGGCTGGCAGAGCCGGGTGTGTGGCCACAGAAGGGCTGGGGGGGTTTGCCCGGGCAGGAGGGAGTGGGCTGGGCTGCCACAGCCACAGCACCCACCAGAGATAGTTACCTGAGGCTCATCTGAGCCGCCAACACCATCCAAGCAGCAAGGGGAAAGAGAGAGAAATAAGCGCCAGCCCCATGGGACCCCTGGCCCGGAGGAGAGCCAAACCCACACCCAGCCTGTGCCTGCCCAGCCATGCCGGGCTCACTCACCACGTACTTGGAGGAGCGCTCGCTGACCACGCTGGCGCTGGTGACCTCGAAGAGCAGCCGCTGCGGTACCAGGCTGCCCCGCGACCTCCGCCACAGCTCCTGCAGCTGCCGGGTCAGCAGGCTGCCGCCGGGGCGCTCCGCCGCGGGGCCCCACTCTGTGCCGGGAGAGGGGTGTCATTGCCCAGTGCAGGGACAGGGCTCTGCCAGCCCCCCGACACCTCCAGGCTGCCGGACCCCACCATCGCACGGATCCCCCCGGGGTGCTCCTGCCCTGGGGAGCGGGGTCACCCCAGTCCCCCCAGCTCACCGCCCCAGCACTTGCCTCCGTCCTCTGTGCCTGCTGCCGCTCCCTGCGCCTGCGGCGGCTCCTCCAGCTCCTCGCTAGCTCCGTCCTCCTCCTCCTCCTCCTCGTCCTCCTCCTCGTCCTCGTGGCTGGTGAAGCTCAGGGTGCCGCTTAGGCGCGTCGACAGCCCCTCAGTGTCGTCCTCCAGCTCCGAGCTCTCCGGGCAGTCCTCAGTCTCGCCGCCGCCTCCCGCCGGCTCCTCCCGGCCGCCCTCTCCGGCCAGCGCGTGCCGCAGCCGGTGCAGGATGCGAGCGGCCATCGCTGCCCGGGGGTCCGGGCCGGCTCCCCGACACGGGGGGACCGGGGGCTGCCCACCGCGGCACGGCCCCGCGCGGGGACAGCCCGGCCCCGGGGCACCCCCCGCTGCTGCCCCCGCACCGCTCCGCTCGCGCTGCCCCGGGCCGGACCGGGCCGAGCCAGGCGGTGCCGAGCGATGGCCGCTCCGCCACGGCTCGTCCCGGGATCCTCCCTGCGCGGCTCCGCCTCCGCCGGGAACCCGGATCGGGGCGGCGGAGCCGGCACCGCCCGGCACGGTCGGGATCGGGATCGGCCCCTGCGGCACCACCCGGCGGGATCGGGATCGGGGTCGGCTCCTCCCGGCACCGTTCGGCACGATCGGGATCGGGATAGGCCACTCCGGCATCTCCCGGCACGATCGGGTCAGAGTCAGGGCTCAGCCCGGCGCTGCCCGCAGCCCCTGCCCGCTGCCGCACCGGCTGCTGCCGCTGTCCCCTGTCCGAGATGTCCTGGTCGGACCGAGCCCCTGGTACCCACCCTGGGGCCACAGGAGCCCGCACTGAGGTGCCCAGCACTGTGGGGCCCCAGGGTCTTGATACCCCATACCCTGGTACCCCAATAGCCTGGCACCCCAGTATCCTGACATCCTGGTACCCCGACACCCGTGTATCCTGGTACCCCAGATGCAGGCTCCCGATTCCACTGGGCTGCAGCCCAGAGGGATGTCCCCCGGGCCACCCTGGCACCCGCTGCCCTGGCCCCAGGTAGCCTCGCCACGCGCCCTGTGACCAGGCTTCACCCTCGGCACTCGCCTGGCCTTTTTTAGTGCCTACCCGCTCACTCCTCACCACTTCCTTGGGAATGTCTATTAATATCGAGGAAGCAGCCCAGCTGCTGCCATCGCTCTGCCCTGCTTGCCCGTTGCACACTGCTCCAGCACCCTGCACCCCACCGGTCAGAGGAGACCCCTGCCCTCCCCTGGGCAGGGTGCAGTGCATACAGGGCTGGGCTTGTGCAGTCCCCAGGTCTCACCTGGGAAATGAGGCTCCTGGCAAAACCACGAGCCAGAGAACCCCTGTGTGTCCCTGTCACTGGGAGCTTATGGGACAGGGATCCATCAACCTGACCCCACTGCATCCCTGAGGCCCCGAGCACCACAGGGCACGGGCCACTTGGCCAGTGCTTTCCCAGAGCCACCAGCCCCTGGCAGCAGTGGCTGGCACGGACTGCAGGTGTGAGGGCTGAGCCTTCCAAGAGGCACCGGGCATAATTTCCACTCCCCTGAAGCATGGAAAGACAGAGCCTTTTCCGGACCCAGGTGCCAATGGTGTTGGGGACTCTAAACTGCAGGGCTTATTTTCCAAAACCCTCCAGGGACTTTGTGCCCCAGGTCCCACTGGGGACCCTTTTCTCACCGAGGGCAGGGGGCTGCAGCATAGCTCTACCTTGGGCCCCCAGAGCAGAAAATGGGAGTGCAGGGAAGGGACACTGCTCCAGGGAAGCCCAGGTTCATGCTGAGAGCCTGTCCCAGGCAGGGCTGCAGGTCTGGGGGACAGTGGGCAATGTTCTGTGCCCCCCGGGTGCAGGGGGGACCCTGACCCCCTTGCCTGGGTGATGCTGACAGATCCAGGGCTATTTTTAACCCCCTCATTGCTGAGTTTCCCTGGTAGGGAGGTGCTATGGGGGTGGGCAGAGCCACCCTCCTGCCATAGCTCCAGTGTCCCTCCTGGAGGGCTTGAATTTCCATCCCAGCCTCAGCCCTACGTTAATCCCAGCCCTTGGCCAATAAAGCTTTGGCTAAATTAGGTAAAGGCACCAGTTGCCAGTGAGCGGGGACGGGTGCTGCCAGGGTGCTGATAGGCTGTGGGGGCTGAGGGGCAGCAGCTAGGGGCACAGCCCACAGAGCAGACGCTACAAATTGGGGTGCCAGGGGTACCACGGTGCTTCTGGGAGTTCCTGCTGCAGGAGCTGGTGATTCTCTGGGGCTGGGAAGCACAGTAAATTCCCACAATGGTAAGAGCCCCTGTGTGTTGTGTGCCTTGTGCTGCATGCCAGGATGAGACCTGATCGGGCAGGAGGCACCAGGCACTGCATGCTCCAGGGGATCTGGGCTGCGGAGGTGCCTCCGTGGAGGGCAGCGGGGAGAGAGTCCCCAGGGCTGGGCTGACCGTGGCGGTGAGGGCAGGAAAGCGTTGGGGAGATGCAAGGTCCCCCCAGGACATGCCTGGGGGGCACCGTGTTCCTGGGGACTCAGCCTTGTCCGGAGCTCGGGGCCGTGCAGAGGTGGCAGTGGCAGGGGGTGGCTGAAAGCCGAGCGCTGGGTCATACGACACGGTGTCACCGCCGGCTCCACGGCCAGCCTGCGCCTCCAGCAGAAACTCGATCGGGGCTGACAGGTGCCACGGCTCCAGCTCCAATGATCCCTACAAGGGGAGCTGAGGAGATTCCAAAAATAGCGTTGCATGCCTAGGATGCCAAGGCTGCTCCATGGCCCCTGCATCATGGAGCCCCCCACATGGTGGGGGGCCTGGGTAGGCGGCTCCCTGCAGCCCCCCATGCTCATGGATGCCCAGGAGGCACTGTAACTGTAGGGATTGCTAAGGGCTGTGGCTTGCCCCAGCACAGCATCGCTCTGCAGCAGGGCAAAGGCTCTCCCCACAGCCCTGTGCTGTCAGGCCACACTGTGCAAGAGGTCTCTGGCCTGATGTGGGTGGCCATGATGACCCCTTCTCCTTTGTCTTGCAGACGGACCAGCAGGCAGAAGCCCGCGCCTTCCTCAGCGAGGAGATGATTGCGGGTGAGTGCAGGGGCAGTGGGGAGAGGGGCCAGACATGGCCATGGCTTGGGGCCCAGCTCTGCCCCACTGTCTGGCCCTGACCTCCCTCTCCACAGAGTTCAAAGCCGCCTTCGACATGTTTGATGCTGATGGCGGTGGAGATATCAGCACCAAGGAGTTGGGGACAGTGATGAGGATGCTGGGCCAGAACCCCACCAAAGAAGAGTTGGACGCCATCATCGAGGAGGTGGACGAGGATGGTGAGCAGCCCTTGGTGGCGGGTGACAGGGGTGAGCACTGGGCACTGGGTGGGCAGCCTGACCTGTGCTCAGCTTCCTCCCCGCAGGCAGCGGTACCATCGACTTTGAGGAGTTCTTGGTGATGATGGTGCGCCAGATGAAAGAGGACGCCAAGGGCAAGTCTGAGGAGGAGTTAGCCAACTGCTTCCGCATCTTCGACCGGTGAGTGGTGGGGGTGAAGTGGCCTGTCCTGCCTGCAGGGGTGAGCAAGGTCACATCCCACCCTCACCCTCCTTCAGGAATGCTGATGGGTTCATCGACATTGAGGAGCTGGGTGAGATCCTGAGGGCCACTGGGGAGCCTGTCACCGACGAGGACATAGAGGACATGATGAAGGACTCAGACAAGAACAACGACGGCCGCATCGACTTTGATGGTGAGCAGCAGCCCTGGCCAGATGCCTGTGCTGTGCACCAGGGCAGGGCCGTGAGCTGAGGCTACCCCTCTCTTGCAGAGTTCCTGAAGATGATGGAGGGTGTGCAGTAAGGGACCAGACATTCCTTGGGCCAGCTGCTGCACCCAGCCCCGCTCCCCCACTGCCCAGGGAGCAGCAGCTCCGCAGCACCTGGCCCCCAGCACTGGCTGAGACCCTGCTCCGTGCCAGGGCCTCGGTCTCATCCCACTGCCGGCGGCTGAGCTTTTCCTCCCATCTGTCACCTGTGGCTTTGGTTTGAGCCTCAATAAAAGAGGAAAGGTTGAATTGCTTGTGCAGGACTTCACTGGGGGTGCACGGGGAGGGGGCTGCAGCACTGTGCCCCTGCCCTGCTCCCCAGGGAGGGGAACATGCCTGGCGGGTGCCCTATGCCAGGCAAGTTCACATCGCAGCCCTGTGCTGGAGGGGCAGCACAGGGCTGTGGTTCCCACGGGCTCTTGGGCAGGTGCCAGCGCTGAGCTCAGAGTTTCCGTTCGGAGCAGCTGGTTCACACGCCAGCGGGTGAGGGAGCACAGCCCCGGCCCCAAGGGTCCTGCTCCAGGGCAGGGCTGTGGGACCACAGGGGTTCTAGGGAGCCACCACCACCTGCCCCACTGGGACCCACGTCTCCCACCCAGAGGACTGGCCTATAAGGTGGAGGGGCAGTGGCAGCCCCCTCCCTGTGAGGTCAAGATGACAGTGGAGTCTCTGTGTCTGGACAGGCTGTGCCAGCCTGCTGGACAGCACAGCTCCCTGGGGACCAACCGGGGTGGAGCACAGCAGGGGTGGGATGAAGGGAACACAGTCCTCAGCTGGTGTGGGTGGGACCGTGGGACCAGCAGTGCAGCTGGCAGGACACAGCTCAAAGCCAGTTACATCCCTTCTGCCCAGCACTGTGGCACAGGGAAACTAAGACCCCAGGAGGGCCAGGGGCCACCCCGGGAATCCTGACCCTGCCCTGTTCTCACGGGGAGCAATGGCACCAGGCAGAAGGGACGGGTGCCGTGGACGGGGGGCAGTGGGGACATGTGCAGCAGCACAGGCTGCCCTCTGCAAGGCCACAGCTGGACACCGGCAGCTGGTGCTGCAGCTTGGGGGCAGCGGTGACAGCCCTCGGCTGCGCGAGGAGCGGCGCAGGAGGAGCGCGGAGGCCCGTGAGCTCAGCACCGGTAAGGAGGGGGCTGCTGCACTGGGCAGCAGGCACAGAGCCCCCCTGGACCCACAGCAGGGCCACAGAGGGGCTCCAGGGCCACTGTGGCTTAGCATCCCATGTCCCACAGGGCTGCGGCGGGTGCTGCTGGCAGGGGTGAAGCAGGCACCAGCGAGCCTCCCGGAGCGGCGGGAGCTGGAGCGGCTGTGGGTGCTCTTCCTCTCCGCTCTGGAGCTCTTCCTGCAGGATCTACGCAGAGCCCACTACCTCTGCCAGCTCTTCTCCATGCAAGAGGGTGGCGTGGCCCCACTGCGCACCGGGCTGGGGGGCTGGGGGCTCCCTGGCCGGCGAGGGGTGGTTTCCATGCAGCCCCTGGCTGCCCAGGGCTTAGAGGAAGAGATCGAGCAAGTGAGGGCCACATTGTCAGAGATGGAGAGTGGAGCCAACATTCCACCATGGACGGTGGAAGCCACGGAGACCACACAGCCAGTGGGGATAGGTGGCACTGCAGCCAGGGGGGCTTGGGCAGGGCCCTGCACTGGGCACTGCTGTGGGGTGCTCTGAAGGGGAGGCCAAGGAGAGGATGCAAAGCTGGCACCCCCTGTCACAAAGCAGGGTATGGGAGCCCTCATGTACCCCCACAGTCCCCAGCCCCCTGCCCATGCAGGCATTGCTGGGGGCTGCCCCCACCCTGCAGAGGGAATGGGACCATTCCAGGCCCCCTAAATGTTGATAGAGCCCCTGATGGGGTTCAGTATCCCTCCTTGCCCACACTTGCAGAACCCCCTGCAGAAGTCATAAACGTGCATTTATTTATACATTAACCGTGGCTCGGACTGCGACATTAATTTAAAAACAGCCTATGATACAGAATGTGGGGGGCACCGGGCAGAGGAGGGTATGGTGGGGGGCGGTGGTGATGGTCAGGTCTCCTGGCCCTTGGCCTGCTTGTTGTACGTCTCCCTCACGTACTTCTTGTAGGCTGAGGAGAGAGGGGGGACATGGTGATGAGGGTCCTGAGGCAGCTGCCAGGGCTGGACAGGCAGTGGGACACAGCAGGCTTGGGGGCTGTGCTGCTGCCCACCCCAACGGGGAGCAGGCAGGAAGGTTCTGCCCCAGGCACTCACCGACTTGGTTCTTCCAGAGCTCGGCCGCGTGTGTGTTCAGGGGGCTCTCGATGTTCGGCTCTGGAAACAGGGGCTGGGTTAGCTGGTGGGGTGACTTGGACACCTCGGAGCCCTGTTCTGAGCGGGGGATCCCCAACCCCACCATCACACCCTCTGCCAGTACCCCATGGCAAGTGCAGTTGTAGGACCCACCTGCCAGCAGGCTCTGGACGGAGAGCAGGATGGTGCGGACGTCGTAGAGTGCCGACCACTTTTCCTTGAGGATGTCGAGGCAGATGTTGCCCTGGGTGTCGACGTTGGGGTGGTAGCAGGGGGTCAGGAACCGCACGGTGGGTGCCGTGTAGGGGTACCCGCTGGGGAACTCCAGCGACAGCTTGTACCGCAGCTCCTCGTAGGGCTGCGGGTGGGAGTCACGGGGGCTGGAGTCAGGTATGGGGGGGGAAAACTCGGGGGAAAAAGGGGCACAGGGGGAGCAGAGGACTGCGACCACTCAGCTGAAGGGAGGAGGGCGGAGCGGGGTCAGGGCCCCCCCAGCCCTGGATCCCGCCTCTCACCGTGCCGGCGGCGCCGTCAATGGTCCCAATCCACTTGAACAAGTTGTCGGACTCGGGGAAGGCGGAAATGCCTTTGTCACCGGACATCTGCGGGGCAGTACGTCAGGGCGGCCGGGACAGCCCGAGACCTTCCCGCCTCGGGAGTCCCGAACTCCGACTCGGCCCCAGGACCCCCCGCGACCCCACTCACCATCAGCGCCATCAGCTCCTGCTGCAGCCTGCGGAGGAGGAAGAGCACGTTACCGGCCGGCCCGGCGGGGCAGCCCCCGGCCGCAGCCCCCGGTTCCCGTCCCCGCTCACCTCTTCCCCACCGCACCGCGGGCCGGCGTGGCCCCCGTTTCGGCCGCTTTGCGAGCGGCTGCGCTGGACACGGCGGCGGGGTCGGCGTTCTGCGAGGCCATGGCGGCTCCGGGGGCACCGACCGGCGCACCCGCCTCCGCCGTCGGTGGGTCACGGGCTGGACGCGGCTCCCCCTCCCGGGCGGCGCCGCACCAGGCTCTGCCCGCTTCCTCCTTCCTGCGCTCGGGGCAGAACTCGGGCCCCGCTGCGGCTCTCCCGGTGCAGCGGGGGCTCTCCCGGTGCAGCGGGGGCTCTCCCGGTATCGCGCGGTGGTGCGGGCTCTCCTGGCGGAACTCCCCGGTGCGGAGCGACGGTGCTTAGGGCTCCCTTAGGGTGGCGCAGGATACTCTCCGGTTGCGGTGGCGGCCCGATCCCGGACACCCCGGTGCAGCAGCGGCTCGGTCCCGGTCCCAGTCGCTCCCCCACACGATCGCCCCGCGCGGCCCTGCCCGCTCCCGCGCCCCGTTTGAATGTGTCCCCGTGCGGCCCCTCCGCCAATCAGCGCGCAGACCCGTTCGAGCCGCCCAATCACCGCCCGCCGGGGATGCGGCTCCCACGGTAACGGTCAGCGGCCGTTGATTGGTCGTCGGGTTCCGACGCACCGCGCTGTGATTGGCCGCTGCCCAGTAAGGGGCGGGACCACGAGTCCCTTAAAGGGCCAGACGCCCCTCCCCGGTGCCCAGGAGGCGGCGAGGTGGGTGCGAAGCGCTTTTATTGGGGAACGAAGGGGGGGGGCGGGGGCGGGTCCTTTGGGGGCGAGGCCTCAGGGTTCAGGGGGGTCCTCGGGGGGCGGCGCGTCCCCTCCGCGACGAAGCGTCTCCATGTGTTTCTGCATCTTCTCCGTCATCCAGGCCGGCGGGATGAAGGGCTTCAGCTCCTCCAGCCGCAGGTCCACCGAGTCCCTTGGGAGGGAAGGAGCTGAGACAGAGGGACCCCGGCACCCACTGCGGACCCCAAACCCACCATGGACCCCAACCAGTACCAAGCCCAGACCCACCAAACCTGCTATGGATCACAACTAGCACCGTGCCCAAACCTACTATGAACACCCAGCCAGCACCAAGCCCCCCAACCCTTGGCACCAAGCCCCCCCAGCTGGCATGGAACAGGATTCATCCAGCACAGGGCTCCCATGCAGTGAAGGGGGGGCACGGTGGGGGCCCCCAGGGAAGGAGCCCCAGGCACAGCAGCATCTCTGCTTTGGTCCTCACCTGTAATCCTCACTGGCAGCCAAATCCCGAATGTCCTCTTCGATGAGGAGGTAGGCCTGTGGCACAAGGTGGGGGACACCTCAGGGCACCTGTGAGGGGCGGCTGAGGCAGGATCACTCCCCCCTTCCCTGGCCAGCGCTGTCCCTGTGGGGTCCAGCTCTGCCCCCCAAGCCTGCACCCAAACCCCACAGGGTAGGGGACGGACCCTGGGGGCAGCTGTGCCCCCGTGCCCTGCCTAACCTCCTGCCACAGCTGCCTGTGCTGCGGCTCCTCCGCCCGTGCTGGCCCTGCGGCGGGCCCTGTGCCCGGCCGTACTCACCATCTTGCCCCCAGTGGCCCTCATGTGCTGCTGCTCTGCCAGCCAGTGCTTATCCTGCGGGTCGGCCGCGTACTGCAATAAAGCAGCGAGGACCGAGCTGAGCAGGGGTGACAGACCCTCGGCTCAGGCCCCCCCTCCTGCAGGACCCTGTGCCCCCCATGCGCTGCCCGCGGGGGGAGCGCTCGACTCTGCACCGCCTGCCCTGCTCCAGCCTCAGCCCTGGCTCCAGCAAAACCTGCCATGTCGGCTCATGTTCCGTGTGCTAGCCAAGACCTTGGGAATGTGATCCGAGATAACAAACGAGGGCAAGGGCGAGGGAGTGAACAAACGAGCCAAAGCACGCGCCCCCGATTCCCATGGGAAACTGTCTGGCTGTGGCATCTGACCTTAAAGAGGTGGGGATGCTTGATGTAGAGTCGCCCTCTTGTTCCTCCCATCCCGAGAGCTCTGCAAGAGGAACACGAGGGGTGTCAGGGCTAAAGGGAGGGTGGCTGTGGTGGCACGGGGACACCCCTCTCCTCCCCAAGCCCTTCCTACTGCTTTGGAGGCAGAGAAGCGAAGTGACGGGAGGAGTGTCACGGGCTCCTGCCTGGAGACACCACCCTCCATCGACAGGGCCGTTCCTTACTTGTTTGCTCGAGATCCCAGCACAAAGGTTGTGGTTTCAGTCAGTCGGGATGGATCCCACTACAGAGCAATTGGAAAAGGGGCAGCATTAGAAATTAAGCTGGTGCCGGCCACGCTCCGTGAGCCTCGGCTCTCTGACAGGGAACCTCAGAGCTGCCCCCGGCCTGGGAGGGAAGGAGCTGGCCACAGACCTCCAGCCTTCTGCAGGGGAGGGATGTAACATTCTGTCTGGGCTGATCTAAGCAGTTTCCCTTGTGGGAAACGCTTGTGGGATTCTCCTGGCTACTCCTACTCTCCCCAGGCCTCCCTCAGCAGCACCACACTGCACAGCTACAGGCTACAGTGCCTGGGGAGACCAACAAAGGCCTCCGGGCACTTCGCTCCTCGTCCTGCAACCCCCGCCCCAGGGCCCCATTGGGGCAGAGCACAGCCTGCGTTGTCCTGTGCTCCTGCAGCTGCAGGGAGGAGCAAAGGGGAGGAGAGGGGGAGCCCAGCAGCCTTGGCCAGCCAATACCTTTGGTCCATCCCTTCTCACAGGCTCAGAGACTTTGAGCTTCCACCTGAGGGGAAGGAAAATGCTGTAAGAATGAGGCCCTGCAGAACCAGCACAGTCACCACCAGCAGCAGGGATTGAGCCCCAGCCCTTCCAGATCCACCCTTGTTCACATCTTGCATTCCCCCGCAGCGCCCAGCTCTGGACCCTCAGCTTTGATGCACACTCTCCTCTCCCAGCTGCTCAGATCCTACCCCTCCCATGCCTCACTGCTCACTCTGAATGGTCCATCTGGATCTTTTCACCCTTTTGGGCCTCCTTAAAACCTTTTCCTTGAAGATCTTTGCCTTCTGGAGGGACACACCTCAACCTAAGACCCCTCCCTGACCCCAGAACTCCCACTGCCTCTCTGCAGGAGGGAAGGAGATCGTGGGGTTTCTGTGCCTCCCCCATTTGGGCAGCCTCGTTCCCCCTGCCCTCCCCAAACAGGGGCTCTAGCTCAGGACCCGTACTCACGCTGCCATGCCCGAGACCCCGCGGTCGTTCGACAGGCTCTGTCCTGGAGGCCGCCCCTTTCTCTGCATGGAAGAAACCCTTCTGTGACTCGGCTGTGCTGGCTCAGGGAACCCTCTTGGGGACCCTCCCCATCCCAGGGAAGCTGCTCCTTTTGTCACGGGCAGAAATGCTCCCTGGCACCAGAGCAAGCACCTCTCAGGCCTCACAAAAGCTGCCTGTGCACCTGCACGCACTCATATGGTGGGAATGGCCAGGAAGGAGGACCAGACTTGCCAAAACAAAATCCCTTGTGCAGAAAACCCTCTTACCTTTTTGGGAATGGGGCTCCCTCGACGGCTCAGCTCCTCATCCATCTGTCGGGCACGCTGGAAGAGGAAGGGCAGCGGGATGAGCAGGGCCCTTCTCCCCTCCTGGTTGTGTGGAGCCCCCTGCATCCCAAAGGCCAGGTAAATGCTGACCCTCTCTCCTTTGCAGTTAAACACTGATCCCAGCCCATGCTGGTGAACAGCACCACACCATAAGCAGCAGCACCTGAGGTTC